AGTAGACCGACGAGCACAAGGAGACAGCGATTGCATGTTTGTGGATTTTTTTGCTTCTGTCCATCGGTTTGTTTAGAGGGGGTGTTTTTTAGGCTACACTGCAAGCAAGCAAGCGCAAGGTTCTCGATCTTATGCAAAAAAGGCGTGCTGGTACGCCATCGTCCTACTCCGACGCAGCTGAAATGGGTGCCGATGCGGGAGAGTTGGATGGAGCTGCGGATGGTGATCGAATAGAAGTAAGTCTGAAGAGTCTTCTTTGCGCATTGGTCTCCGGAACGTTCTTTTTTTTTCTTTAGCGCTGCCAGGCATACAATATTTCACTTGATTTACTATTTCTTTCTCTTGCTATTACGTCTCCTATAACCTGAAAGTTTTGGTTTAGTCTCCTCTACCATCCGTTGGTAAGCGCAGTCCTGTTGAGATGCAAGTAGTGGACAAAAAGGAGAAGAGGAAGAAAAGCAAGAAGTTGGTCATATCCTAGCGTCTACAGGTCATTATCACTCATCGTTCACGGTACATCTTTAGCTCTCGATCTCCATGCACAATACCAGCGCAGCCAGCACCCAGCGTGCAGGATTCACCGACGGCTTCTGTAGGCTATACAAGATCCCGAACTACTAAGTCTGTACATTTTCGAGAGGTCGGGCTTTTTCTATTGAGGTGTCTGTGATGTGCAATTGTACTCGTTTTTTTTTTGCTTTAAATGAACTTTATTGTCACACTTTTACCAGAATTGGCAAGAAGAGGGACTAATAGCTTTACTTTCGACCTCAATTTTTTTTTACCAGATTACATTTCGTTAGTGTCTGTGTGGCAAGCATGTTTCCAGCGTTATTGCTTACAGAATGTTCTTTGGGGACAGTCGTTACACTACGAACTTGATGGAGGAGCAACTTCGACGTCGCCGTCAAAGTCCTCGTGTAAATATCTCAATGTCACCGTGCACGCAAAAGAAGTACCTTCTACGCCACCGCCACCTGCGGCTGACTCCTCACCAGCCAATCCTGGCGCACAAATTCCCGAACCAGAGCCGCCAAAACCAATTCTGTTGGGATATGTGAGTTTGGCTTTGAATTCAGCAATTGAATTTCATTTTTCTCTTCTGTTTAGACTTCACTTTACGTACCACAAATACTTGATGACTGTCAACTTACACTCTCGAATTATCATCGTGAAGTGTTCTACCTGAAACCTCCAACTGATGTGCAGTCGATCAACGACCCGTAAGCTTTTTTTTGTATATTTTGCTCAAATGCAGATTACTGAATCCTGATAATGTGACCACCCTAAAAATCTCTTTGTAGCTCGACTCAGGAGTTTTCGAGACATGCCGGTTATGATCCACGTCTTTTATACGGCGATGTGACTCTAGG